CCTACGCGACCTTCAGTGCCAACTGCAGAGTCTGATCAAATCGTGAACACGTGAAAGACCGCCAAGTCACGTTTAAATAAAATAAAAATGTAGTGTCCAGCTCTACACACATTTTCCTATTTGGTGACAGGAATATGGACAGGGTCCTTAGTGTTGTGGTCTGTAGTCGGCGAGAACTGAAGTCAGTGCGAGAGACAGGTGCAGAGCAAGGCTTAGCCGCCGACCTGCTGGATGTTTGGGAATCTGATTATTATGAGATGTTGGCCCCGCAGGGAGTAAACCGGTTCTCCCAGGTCTACTAACATTTATTATACCTGTCTGGTTGCAAGAAAATAGATTAAAATAATTCTGTTCATTAGGTGTATAAAATAATACATCTCCTTCAGTTATCAAGGTTTAGGTCCTGTGGCGATTCCGAATAATTCATGAACAATGAATTTTTAGATATGTGGTAACACCACTTGTACAGGGAATCCACTCAATACACGGTCTCTACGCAAGACGTAAAACAGAAACGAAAATACGCATATCAACATAAATTCCGTGTTGCGTAGACAGTCTCCGAAACGTCAGAAACTAATTTCGTAGCCTACACGGCGTATCGCCCGCGAAGACTTCAGCCAGGATAAGGCCACTTCTAAGGTCCGAGTATTTAAATTTCAAGACTTCGAACTCGTGTCCAGCCGTTCGTAGCGCCCTTCAGATCTGCGTTGTTTCAGTGCTGAATGGTCTGCATAAAAAAAACATCATGTTCCTCATTACGTAATATCCTAAACTGCTCACTGTATTCTTCTTAGCTCCAAGTACAGTTTGTTTAAAAAGTATCTGTACAGTAGATACGCAGTTGAAAGTCTACAGCAAGCGGAAATTGTTATTTTTGTGAAGGTTGGTAGCACGAATTTATGACAGTTCTTTGCTGTTGGCATAACGTAAAACGCAAACAAGTTGCGTCTAATACGTTTTGTAAATAAGTGTACATGTAAGTATATTTTTCTGGTGAAAATTAAACTTGAACACTGTATGTTCGGTTGGTCGTTGTCAGATAGTCACAAACGATGTTCTTCTCTAATAATAAAATACCACATTTCATATCCATACAAGAAACCGGCATACCATTCTGATCTTCAGCGTTTCGGAACATGGACAGGTTAAATCTGTTTTATCCCTCACTTAATTTAATCATAAACCTCTTTTCGAGTTGGATATGTTTTTCTTAAAACAATACCACATTCAGTGGATGAGTATGCTTCAATTCGGTTGCATGAAACTTTAAAGGACTTTCCAAATGTAGACATTATTTTTTAAAAGGATTGTAACGTAAGAGATGTGTTCAGGCATGCAAAACGTTAAGACCATAGTAAGTGAAGGGTGTATGTGTTTCTAATTTCAACGCAAAACGAAGACTAGGGGGCTACCGTATTTTCTTCCAAGGAAATCCCATGCCCATCTGTTATCACATTATAACGAGCAGTGCAACAGGAAACTTTACGAAACGCTTATCAGTTTGGCTTTTCATTTCCTTCCGTTTTCACGCACTATCGCCATGTTATTGCGTACGATTTTAACTTTCGATCCACTAGCGTCTGTGTGGTTTGATGTACGTAATCAGTTTGCTGAAGCAGTGTTTAAAAACCATTTCCTTCTCGTATTCACTCTTCTAGAGCATTCGCCCTGATAATGGACGCAGCAGGCACTTCTGAAAACTCCTTGCAATATCCTAGTCATCTCGCTGCCGTGAGAACCTGAAATCTCACTTCTATTTGATATTGCACACAGGAAGCTGCATATGGCGACAGCTCTTTATATAAAAAAAAGTTCATAATTAGTGTTTCAGATAAAAATGATAATTTCACAATCTTGCCTTTATCGTCCGCTATTTGATGGATCAGCTCAGCTGCCTTTCTTGTTAGCATGAGTCAACGGCTTTAAACTGAACGTCCTGGTCGAATGGGTAATCACTTCTGCTTCGAATTTTGGAGGTCGCCGGACTCAAATCTCGGCCCGAAAACCTGCTATCCCGAGTGAGATTTTTCGTGGTTCTCAGTCCCTCCAGGATAATGCAGGGATAGTACCTTAAATAAGACCACGAACGCTTCCTTCCACAACTTTCAGATTCATTATTCATTATCATCCTCTCATTAGACGCTATATAGTCTTAGCTAATGAAAGCGTCGTTAAATAAACTAAATAAAATCTACAACTTTAGCGGTTCCGTGTCTTGTTTTGCGCCTCAGACATGTCTTTACGCTGTTTCTTGCATTCAGAAGAGGCAGCCAGCCCGTAGTCTTTTGTATGCATATTCCAGTTACGAAACGATGGGAATAAACGTTGCGAACAATGTCCTTTTCATTCTGCTTTGTAATAGTAAGCTTAAAGTGCAATTCACTGTCACCTCATCTCCTCTGCTCGCATGAAGAAAATGAAAATCTAACTTCGAGGTAGTGGTCAAGAGGTTCTGCCAGAGGTTGTAGTTGGCTTCTACGTCCCTTGTGGGGAAGTGCGACGCTTTACCAGAAAGGTGTTTGCCAGGCTCTGTCCTCAGAGATGTGTCAGTTGGTGTCATGTATCCGTCAGTTATCTGCCGTATAAAAATTCCGTTTTATGACATGACAGAAAGTGACGTCGAACAGAGGATCATAAAATCATTTTTGAAGTTCGAAACCGCTCATGTAGTCAAGAAAGTTTGCACTTTTATGTAATCCGAAGGTTCAATACCGCGAGGTCCTTTGTAACATTTTGTAATGTGTTGGATTTTTACGATGAGGAGTTAGAGCCCCGAACTGGATGACCATCTTTTGTCGGCAGCCAACGTTTTTTTTTAAATATTCGCATCAGCCCTCCATGTCTTGAGGCCCTTTCCTCAGTTCATATCCTGAGGACGCATCCTGCCGGGGTAACAAGGGTCAAATTCAGCGTGGTCAGTATTCCCTTCCGAAGAGTATGTTCCCGTGGATGACGAACACTTTGTTTATCTGTTATGAATGTTTCCGCTTACGTGTTACGACACTTGTTAGCTTCCGTTCAGCAGAATAAGGAAACGCTGTACCAGATGCATTGGATATCTATGTGTTTACATAGATTAATAAGGTGTCTGTAATTGCTGTGATTGTTATGCCAAAACTGTAATAAAATTATCATTAAAAATGTACTAAAATTTGTAAATGCATGCTTGCTGTCTGTCGCCTGTGTGCCCCTGTACATATGGGCGATAATAATTTTCTAGGAATGTTTTGAGACCTTATTTCTTTCGTTAAGGTTAATTTTACTCTCATTTAGCTCCGCTATACGATGACACAGAACCATGGGCCTAGGCCTAATTGATAGTCCAGTTTTTCGAAATTTTAAGTAACTCCATGGCGCAGAGTGGACATTGATAAACTGATAGTTGCTCAGTTTTTTAAGTCGAAGGTTTGTTGCCATGTTCACAAGGGCCTATACCACTGAACTCTTTCACGAGCCAGTTTATTCCAGTTTAAACATACCCTGTTTCTTTAAGCGTCATTTTTTACCATCTACTTCAGACAGGTTTTTGGACTAAAATTTTTATTAACTTTGTGGTTTCGCCGTAGTGCTACACATCCCGTCCTTCTAATTGGCCTTAAATGAGCTACGTGGGCTGTTGTTTAGTCACAGTGATATTGTGTGTTTATTAATACAGTGGAATTATATTTAACCACATCTATGACTAAACATTTAATATTGTTTGCGTAAATTTTTGATGAATTTGCTCAAGTCTTTATGTCTAAGATCATCATATGCCTCTCTTGAGAAGGCATGCTTGTATGTGCTCTGAAGAAAAGGCCTAACATGTGGTAAGGGGTACAAATTAAGAAGCTCTTATGAAATTCTCTCCTCCCTCCTTCAGTGTACGACATTCTATCTTGGCTCCAAATATTCTCCTCAGCGAGACAAATTGTACACTTATTTCAACGTCAAGGAATGGATTTTGGGGTGAGAAACTTCATACTCTTAAGAATTCCTACGACGATATCATTATAAAGGTATGGATGTTCCTTCAAAAATCTTTACTGATCAACAGTTCATTATCGTCTTAATGCCATATCAAAGGAATGCGGTGTTAAATGATACAGATATACTCTAATTTCATTCGATAATTTTCATGTTGAGCGAAATCGTGTGTAATGACTGAACCATGAATTACGTATATTTGTACATTATGATACTGCAGGGCATAAGTTAATTTCATAATATGTTCAGTTTACTTTCAACTTCCAGGCCCACGCCTACTGTTTGCATTGTATGGAATTTCCCTGTAATAGTAACTAACACTATACATGAAAATTGTATGAAACTGCGTCACAAAGGTGGAGTTTCTTCAAGGAAACTGTTCGTAAACTGTAAATTATGCAGGTTTGCAAACAAAGTTTCTTCCGGTGTGTAAGCAGGCTTATTCTTACATTTTACCATTCTTTGTTTTACCGATCCGTTACCTGAAGCATTGTAATACATTTTCTTTGACTGTATGAAGCGTACAATAAATAAAACTGGTTACCAACATTGGAAAATTTCCCCCAAGTCTAAGAAAATTGTGTGCGTAATAGATAAATAAAAAAAAATCATAGCAACTGTAAGAAGTGCGCAGACGTAAGGAATATGTTTATCTGTGATTTCCTATTTTTAAATGAAACTGCTGTTTTACAGAGGTAGGACCAAGCATGTGTGCGCCATAGGCGAGGTTGGAATGTTTCGCCTCGAATCAAGCACAATTTTTACCTCTAACTGAAGAGAAGAGAAAACTTGTATTTGCTTACAGTGTAGAGACGTAACATAAAGTACAACTTCAACATTTTTCATGTACAATTGCAAATTTACATTGTAAATTTATTACTTTGACAGATGCATATTCATCAATTACATCATGGAAATTAATAGTTTTGCAATATCGTACTGACTGCTAGAAGGACATATGTCCATGAAAGTGATTTTGCCATTTGTTTTGCATCTCTTAGTTGACATATCGCAAAAATTGATTTTTTCAGAGTGAGGAATTTGCTGGTATCAAAAATATTACAAGTCGCTATGCCCTAGGCCAGTGGTATTCAACCTGGGATACGCGAAGACATCTTAGGGGGTACGTGAAATTTAAAAAATATATATTATTTTATGATAAACACTGAATAATCAGTAATGTAATTTATTTAATTTATTTTAGATGTAGATTATATACTATGTATAACTTGAATTATACACCAATAACTTTGGGGGTACAAACTTAAGAGAAATTATATCTGGGGGTGCGCGAACAAAAAAGGTTGAATACCACTGCCCTAGGTAACTTCCATACTTGGCTACGCCTCGATCCGGCTCTGCCATTCTAATTTGGAATATTATTTCTCAGTAGAGGTCTTTAAAGGCGTATCCAGTGTCTATCACCTTGTAAAAACAGGCATATTTCTGAATGGCGCAGAACAATACGCGGTTATCACTACACACCTTCCACCCCTTTCTCTTACTCCGTGTCCATTCCTATCAGATATTTATAACAATGATCAAATTACATCGCGTTCACGGACGCACAACAGTCTGAGCTGGTGACAGCGATGTCGAATTAAGTAAGATTACCGTTAAGATGATGTGGGTGTTATCTAGGAGAAATCCCCACGTTGATGGAAGATTTATCGACGTTTTGGTCTGCCAATGACTTATCTGATTTCATCGACACGAAATAATGATTGATAATTATCTTCTAGAAACAGATAATGTTGATAAAGGACAGTGTGACGTGTTATTTCCTATTCATTTATTCTACGAAGCTCTCGGTACATTTGTCCGAAAGCGTACCGAACGAGAATCATTTTCAGTCAGTAAGATATCTGAAGTTTTTGTAGTCATACTATGTTACAGCTTTGGTTAATAATTTCGGAACACTGCTAAACCAATGGTGTGAAGTATCCATGGCCCTGATTCGTCCTTATGGTGTAGCTGACTTCATTTGGCGATCAGATACCATTGTTCCTACGCAGTGCACCATGTGTGGCTGGATATTGCGTCAGGCAGTGTTGGAGGCCAGCAGCTAGGCAGTACGTCATATCCGGGCACGGTGTTGACCATGAGACACACGCGGGGCCTGAAGCTTAGGTCTTGTGTCGTGACCCTGGCTTGCGTGCAGCCATGCACGATCCAAGGATCCATGGATTGCCTCATAACACCTTTAAAAGAATGAAAGGCGACTCGACACATGTCACAATCTGTTCTCGTTGCAAGTCGATGTGTTTTAATTGGACTTTGATAATTAGAGATAGCAATGTTTTGATTAGTACACGGTTTGGGTATCTAAAAATGAATTCCGAACAAAAGCTGAAGACTTGTGTTATAAAAAGTGGCGTATTGCGGGTTACGGACCCTTACATTTACCACAGTTCTCGAGAAGCTGACAGTCGTTCAGAGAAATAATTCCCCGCAATTTATAGAACCATATTAACAAGAGCCGACCACCGGGCTTCGACCCTGTCCTCCTCCTCCTCCTCCCCCCCTCCCCCCGTCATATTTCTCTAAGATCCTCTCCTCGCTTCTGAAACAGTAACATCTCTTCAGATTTTTTGACTAAAATCGTATATGCTTACATGCCCCTCCCATCTCACTCCCCTTGATTTGACCCTCGTAATATGTAGTGAAATCAGAATGAATTTTTATCGAGACAAAACATAATTTCGCTAGGCTTAGTGCCTTTTGGTTCATCTGCGTGAATTAATGCGTAATTATTGTTTTGTATACGATATTAAAGCGACCACTAACAGCACTAATAGTGTCAATGCAAATCTTTCAGTGCAGCGACAACCGATCATGTGTAGAAGGGAGCTCAGTTAATTGTAGAAGTATTGGTACATCAAATATACCTCAGACAATGCACACTTTCCAACGCAATTATGTCGAAAGAAAGATTTCGTTAGCATAATTGATCATAAAAGACATTGAGGGAGGGAACGTGAATCATATGATGCTTCTTCACTTGAGAGGAGTGAAAAATGAAGGTCCTGTTGACGTGTTGTGAGTGGAAAATTTATGTGTATCGAAAGACTTGAGAAGTCGCGATGGTTCACCTGTTGTTGCCACAGAAGTGAATGGTGTAACGTATGATTCCTGTGTGTTTACTTGCCGATATGAAGGCAAGACATCGAGTTAGCTGCTGTTATGCTGTAACATCGTAATATGCCGGTGCTCTTGTTAAAATAATCCGCTTTTCAGTTTTAATTGGCAGCCTGAAGACGAATTGTGTTCTCCGAACTGTTACTATGGTTATAATTAATTCCCAATAAATAAATATTTTTAATGTATGTTGTTTCTAATGCTTTATATTTTCACTACTAATTTCATTTTCATCCTTCGTGCGGTGATGTTTTACGATGTGTGTGTGTGTGTGTAGATTAAACTACGGCCAACCAGATGGCAGGTAGACAGCTGCGAGAAATTTTATGGTAGCTTTGCTTCACGGGATGTAGAATTAGGAAGACGTTAATGTGCTCCGATAAACGATTAAATATATGCCTTACTGCCCTGTGAAAGGCATTCCACGAAAGAACGAAGCGTGAATTTCCTCATTCATTAAGATGCGCATTCTCTGTTTTAACAGTTAATTACTGGAGCAACAAGATAGTTCTGGTTTTAAAAGAAAACAATTCAGGTTGGCAAACATCAGCCATTACATGACGTTTTTCGTTCTTCTGGGTTGTGACGCCATGTAGACTCGAAGGTAGATGCCAACATTTCGGTGGTAGTCACCCCATTTTCAGGGCTAAAGGTATGTATTTCTACGTTTGCATACCAGCGTACACAGCCGTCAGAACCTAAGACTTTTACTAATCACAATTCTGCAATAAAAATAGTTGGTTGTTATGTTTCTGTTTGGTTTATCAGTGACGGAATAATTGTGCAATAAATGTACCAGTGTAACGGCCGCTTAAACATGGTTCTGCTTGCATTTACGAAATTGCGTCAATGACCACAGCTGTGCAATAGCTTTTATTTCCCTTGACTGGTCAGAGAATGGGTTAATATTGGATAATTCTCAACATTCGACGTGGCTGAATTCTGAAAGCCGAAGTTAACACGTCTTTTAGTTATCTTGAGGCTCAGAAACGGCGAAATGTGTCTGTTTCGTGGTGGAGCAGGATGTTTGGTTTTCGAAGATGGTGGGTGACTGGTGTGAAGTTGGATTCTTGTCAGTAGTAGTTAGTGACAACCTTGTCCTGGGTCAACGGCCTGAGCGACCGACTTTAGACTTCGCTTCCGGTACCGCGAAACTTGGCAACGCTAGACGGGGAGAGAAGAACGGTTTGTGGCGATGGAAACAGAAGGCTGGTGTCTGTAGCTGAAATCACTTTGTTTCAAAACTATTTCCCAGCAGCTATTTAAGTGTTTCTCATTGAATACCAAATGTAATTCGTAGTCTTTGATGTTTAAAAAAAAACGATATTTGTAGACAAACAAACGATTTAATTCTGATACGTACAGTAGAACCTTCTTTCAAAAGCTCATTATTATACATTTTTCTCTGTTTATTTGTTTATCATTATTACTCGATCTCTTATGGGTTATACTCATTGCTACTTCAGGAAATTCCTGACACCAATTTCGGTCTCAAAAGAGTACTCTGATGTAGTCTTCTAGGTTGTTTCGCCGTGCTGTGTGGTAAAAGCTTATCTTCGTTTCACAGGTGCTTGCTGCCACCATTATCAGGGCGATGAGGCAGCAGGCATGTCTGAAACGTCGGTAAACTTCTACCAGACTGCTTGCGGCAACAACAACAACAACCCATAAGGCAGCCATCATCACACTCGCTGCCATGAGAACGTAACATCTCACGTCGTTAAATAATGTAATTTTTTCACGGTTCTGTGATTACCCAGCTTGAACGTGTGGCCAACCCATACACGTGTTTCTTTCCGCTTGTTCTATTTACGTTCGGTATCGCACTTTGTGTGTTTTGTGTTACAACGCAGTGGCTGGTAGCACCTCTACCGGTGATAACGGTGATAATGCAAATCCTAAGTCCGCAAGCGCGAACTTAGCTAGAAACGAGTACACTGGCCATTTCATCATCTTTCTGTATTATATTTCCTTTATTTAATCAGGTCGAATTTGATAACTTACCTTCTGTTACGTAACGCGCAGACTTCACTGCGACGGGGAATTTTACACACGAACATCACTAGAAAATTACGAAGGCATTACGTCAATTGAGCAGCTTTATTTTTTGACGTAAATACGTCTATAAGGAAGGGTCATTCGGCAAAAAAGTGTAACGAAAAAGGGAAACGAAAAAGTGTAACTTCATTGTTATGTTACCTAGGAAACGTTACTTTACATTACATTCAGCGACCACAGACCCATTTTAAGCGTAACTAATTGAAGTTGATTAATCAATGTCTTAATCAAAATTATCTCAATTGTAAAGCATGTATAAAGGAAATATTTAGAATAAAGCCAATATATAAACTTCCTTTCCGTATAGACGTATTTACGTCAAATTCCCCGGAACCGTGGTTCCACTATCACTTTTTATACTCTTTAATCCGGCTATCCATATCTTTGCCGAGGGGCGCAGAAAATAATTAAGTTGGTAGACAGGAGGCCAAGCTGTGCACTTCAAGAGCAAAACTGGTATTCACTTGAAAATGAATAATAGCTGTACTTTTCCATTCAACTAAGTTTGCTGCAAATACGTTGTTTGTTAGCATTCAGGTCAATGTTAATTGTATAAAATTCCAGTTATCAGTACCACAGTCACGAAAATTCCTGTCTTCTGGCTCGTAGCGCCGTTTAACCTGGTAGAAGTCTACAAGCGTTTCAGAGGTCCTTGCTGCCTCCATCATCAGGGCGATAAAATTTCTACCTCAAATCCTAATACCACATCCATTTTCATGTTCTTCTGTTAAATTTAATTTAGTTTTAACAACGAAACAATTCATGTTTCATTAATAACTTGATTTTAATGCAATGTACGAAATTGTTTCATTCAGGTATTTTTTGCTGTGTGCTTATATAATATATTTTTCTTTATATCAATGTTTTTCAGTAACAGAATAATGTTGGCCCTTCTCCCAGATTTCCATAGAAGGCGTGGAATTTATTGTATTTGATTATCGACTGTCAGCTACTCATGAAGGACTATTATCCATAGAGTTACGTATATTGCAAGTGAGCAGAATGTCAGAGTATCGAACGATTTTGTCCAAATTTCACAAATGATATAAGTTAGGAGTGTAGGTAGTTAAACATGGTGACGCGAGGTGCCATGAGTTCGGAGTTCGATAACCTCTTTGTATATATAAATCACTTTCTCCATCAGTTTCTGACATGCCTTGGCTATGCTTTGCTGTCTGCTTACTCGAAAACTTGAAGAAATGTGGCAATCGGACATAAATTCCTTCCCCGCCAATTACCCATACTTCGCTTCATCAGTATTGAATTACATCAGTGTAACTACATTCAAACTCCGCAATCCGCTCTCTGGCTAAATAGGTCGTTGACACTAGCCAGGCTTTATGATACAGACTGTGGCAGAGTCTAACGAAGAAAGGAAATGTGCTCCAAAAGGTTGTGACTGGTTGGTTTATTACCAATTTTGTTGAGTATTTTTTTAAAACTAGGGCAGAACGCTCCTTTCGGAGCTCCTCGGAGGGGCTGGTCAAGTTTTTAAAAAGCAACCAACCCCTTCGGGGGGGTTGGTTGCGTTTTAAAACATTGTTGATAATGTCATTTTTTGACGACAAATTGGTTGACGACAACGACTAATCACAAATTTTTATAGTAGATACTCTTTATGCTTCGCAGCTGGATCTATTCCCGTTATACTGCCTGAATGTAAACAATAATAATTTACTATGAGCTGGAATCAGTTTGTTGGTCTTTAAAATATATTTGCAGTAACTGGCTTGTCCAATTAGAGCATTTGTTCGCTTGAATCTACTATAAAAATTCGTGATTTGTAGTCTATCAAAAAATGACGTCATCAAATAATGTTACGTTATATTTGTTTACTCGGCATTGTTGTGTTGTACCAACACAACAATGCCGAGTAAACAAATGACTTGAGTAAGACACTAAACTAACCCCCCCCCCTCATTCGGGGAGGTTGGTTTAGTTTCTTACGCAAGTTTTTAAAACGCAACTAACCCCCTAGAAGGGGGGTTGGTTGCGTTTTAAAAACTTGACACCCCCCCCCCCCCCCCCCGGAAAAAATGTGATTCTTGCTGTCTTGTCCATTGTTACGTTTGGCAAGATTAAGATGTATTTCAATTGTTTCATTAATCATTGTTGGCTGTAGTCAGAAGTACGGACTGACCAGGCAGGAAAACCATACTTGATCGTGTTACTGGATTTAGCATGTAGAATCGGTGAACTAAAAGATTAGTAATTTTTAAATTTTCTCGCTCGCTGCTTCTGAACTGAATAACTTTGGTGTTCAACAATGCCAGAAAAGAAACATTTCCCCTGCATTTATTATTATTATTTCAACCAAATTGAATTTATGTCTTAATCGCCATTTATACGACTTTTATTCGTTTTTAAAAGCTAAACTCGCAAGAGACTGATTTAAAGGTATTAATTTGCAGTTTAACACTGCTTCACCGCTGTTCCAGAAGTACTCGAGGCTTCAGCGGCATAGATGAGCAATCCCAGGACTGTACATGATCCGTTACACGCGACAAAGCCGGTCGTCATGTAGGTGAAGGTTGTAGTGGGTCACATCTGTCACCCAAGTGCAGGGGTGTGCAATATTTCCTGAGCACGGACCATACTGAACGTACGAAATTCATTGAGATCTAATATGCGGCTGTGAAGACGAAACCGTTGTTTTTATGGTTATTAATGCAGCGTGTTCTTTTACGTAGATAGATATCAATATCTCGGAGGAACATACTCCTATCTTCAGGACGAAATATTGGTATCTGCCTACAAGACCAAAAGACCAACATCTACAGCTCTTAATTCAGTTTTAATTAGAATTTAGAGTTGAATTATCCTTAAATTGGCAATGTATGCACTCGTATCCCTTTTTTATGGTGTGCGAATTCATTACGAAAACCCCTAATCTGGTGTATCGTTCCACAGAGCGGGAAATGTGTACCCAGGTAAACAAACGAGGAACGAAAGACGGCAAATTAAAAAAATATGTCACCGGAGCTTGGTGTTAACGAATTTCGTTGAGGGTTTGTGGGCCAAAAATTTGCGGTTTACGGGCCGTAGGTTGCGTAGTTTTTCTTTGTGTGGGGGAGGGGCAGCAGCTGCAGCTGCAGAATGCACAAGGGCGATGTTCGCCAGGAAGTGCAGA